CTGCTATGTGTTTCTTCTAGTTATTGGCTCATACCCTTACATCAGGGAATAATTTTAGTGTCTTTTGCTTTGAAAGTATCCAGGCCTGTTTTCCATTCTGAGTTCCACGGACCAGCTGACTTCACTATCTAGGTCCCTTACTGTAGCACAAATTTCCCTTTTGAAAGGGAATATTTAGTCTTAATTGCTGACCTGTTACTTTAATTCATTTAAATTTTAAAATTAAAATTAGTCTCTGGCTAAAGAAAAATGTTTTATTTTGGATATAAAGATAAGGTGGTTAAAGAGAAAAGACTGTGGCTATGAAAATGATTGCATCAAAATTGGGGACAAAATTCAGAGAGCTCATTGTTCTCGTAGCTAGAGTGCAAGATAATCTTCAAAAACTGACACATGAAATTGTAGGTCAGGGAGCACACATCTAGAAATGCAATAACACTGTGAATAAGAAAAATAAAAATATGATTGGAGAACAGTTAAAAGGAGTTATTTTGGGAAAAAAATCAAAAAAATGCAGGTAACTGGAAAACGGCATAAATGTAGCATGGGCTTACTAATGATACATCACTTGGTTTAACACTTCGTTAATCTAAAAAATGAATAAATAGCAGTTGTCTCACATCTGGACTTCATTTAAAACATTGCAATTTTCCACATGAGGACTTGGTTAAATTTGTGAAGATGAGCATTAATAGAAGAATTAAAAGTTGGCAAGGAACTGCCTGAACGATAAAGGAAAGGAAAGGCAGTGTTCAAAAGGCATAGCATTGTCTCAGGGCGGGGAGGTGGGGGGCAAGTTACAAACACAGTTCTTTGATACTCATTTTTTAAATTGGTTTTAAAAAAAAAAAAAAAAAAAAAAAAGACGACAAGGACAACTGTAGCACAGGAAAAGTGATCATAAAACCAGCCCTGAATAAAGCTAGAAAGCAGATAACAAGAGTTCATTTTAACCACCCAGGCAACAAGACTCTGGAACAGTCTTGAGGGGAGAAGCTGGGACAAACTTTCCCACATTCTTTTATTAATGAGTCTTCCTTAGTTTAAGAGTTTAAGATATTGTATCACTGACAGAAAAGGTGCCTTCCAGATCTGTGAAAGTTTAAATAGACTTTGCTTTCCTTTCCTCTTCCGTACTTCTTTTGCAGGAAGGCTGGTGGGAGACACAGAGGAGCTTCCTGCCAATTAGTTGAATTGACATATTAGTTAAGTTCCGCTTGTTCTTGATCCCGAGAGCATTTACAGGTTTGACCAACAAAGCATATTGACAGACACTTCTGCTGGGATTAGGGTAGGGCAACAGAAACAGTGTAGAGGGGGGCAGGAATCATTGTATTGGCACCAGTGACAAAGGCAGCTGAAGAAAAGTTGCCGGCAGAAGCCTGAGAGACAACAGAGCTCCACATCGCAGAGCCTGGGGGAAACGGTCTAAAAGCCCGTTGCTACATCAAGCATTCAGAGACACACAAACACCACACTGAAAAAAAAAATCCTACTTAATGAAAACAACAAAATAATCTATTAACTTCCATTCTGAAATAAGCATGAAAAGAACTGAATCTCAGCAAGAAAGCTGTAACCTTCTGGCTCTAATGATGAGTATATTACTGGATGGACCTATTAAGGAATACATACAGGAAGAGGTGCTGCCCAACACTTGACCTCTTTTTATTCCATCATATAAAACCTATATTCCACAACTTGTACTTTTCTGATTTCAGGTTTACTTTGATTCGAAAGAAATGTTTCTGACCCTTGAAGGAAGGGTTCAGCACCTTCAAACTCCACGTTGCTACCCGTTGGTCTCTTACTGTAGTTTTCATCACCTGAATGTTCTCAGGTGTTTATGACAACAAGGAAGAAGTCATATTGCACTTTTTTAGTAAGAATGATGAATAATGGATTATTCCTAGAAACAGAATAAAAAATGAGTGTTTGTTTCCCACTGTGACAGTTTGCTGGATTGTATTTAACCGATGGAAGTCCTGGATGCTACAGTTCAAGTACATGTATACGTTACCTTTTAATGCAGAGAACTGGAGATAGTCACAATTATAAAGCACACAAAAGAAGCCTAAGCAGTAAACTTCTTGTGTCTTATTTTATAGGAAAATAAATGTATCACATATAGAGATATGTAAATATATGTACTACTCACATAACATGCAAACTACTACTTACAATGTAATTTTCTCGAAATGGTTCTGCTGTTTCACATCATAGCCCAGTGTTCTAGTAATTTATACAGCATTTAACATTATTTTGTCTGGGAAACACCATCTAATCTAATATGCTGAATGACATTAATGTTTCTTAATTTTACTTGGGCAAATTTTTTTCCTTGTCCTGAGATGAATAAATTGCACAATTCTTCATAATCTATACAGTATAAACCAGATCTTAACACAATTCTGATTGCATTTCCTTTTTTTCCTCTAGTTATTTTATCTCTATAGGAAATTTGTTCCTGTTTTGTTATGACAAAGGGATAACACACCTTTGCATTAGTGTAAAAATAGAAATAGGCATCTCCAAAATAAAATTCAGAAAAAGTTTGCAGGTATATTATGACAAGAGTTCACAGAAGAAAGAGAAACACCCTCTGAGAACAGCATGGTGTAACCAAAGAGGGACTAAACTCCTCCAACTTCTTCCTAGTTATCCTGGGAGGAGTTAGGTGGCCAAGTTACTAAAATGCTCTCAGGTACTTCAAGTCTTCATTCTGGAAACATCAATATACTAGAAACTGAGTACTAGAATTGAGGCATGAACTGCATTCTAAATTTTAATTTTAAAAAAGCATGATGGTTATTGGGCTAAACTCTCTAGTCTGTCATCAGCTTTTTCTTCCTGTTTTTAAATAATGTTCTTGTTACCACACCATTACCATTTCATACTCATCAAAAAAAATCTGACATACGGTGAAAAGCATGCTCCAGTAGCTGTCATTTAGCTTTACTAGACTTGGTCCCCAATGAAAAGCACATGTCCTAAACACTTAGAAAATAAGTTATAACTCCCATATCACTCCAAGCATAAGAATCAATTTTCCTCTAATTGAGAGTCACCAGTGATGTGCCAGACAAAAAGTGTCCCAAAGGAAGTGTGGAACGTTTTTAAATAGTGAAAACAAAGAACAAAGTATTTCTTTTACCTCACCAGCCACTTTAAATGAAAGCTATACAGTGCTGGAGAAAGAAGCTCATTTCAATTCATTATAGAGTTCATTAAGTAGATAAAAACCTAAATAGCATACACGTGTGTGCCTATACATATGCTACAAAAACCCCAGCATGTCACCCCTGAAATGATCTAAAAATGCTCATATTCTTAATGTCATCTGGAATCTTAATAAACTTTGCCTGAGAATCAAATGAAATTGTCCTAGATACATTCACTCGCCATTATCCTTACCAGCAGCATGTTTTTTTCTTGTTTAATAACAAACAGGCAGTGGTATCTTCCTATACAGAAGAATAGACATGGCCACTGTTTTAAAATATGAAAATGTATTTTACAGATCTCCATTTTTATTTACAAAGAATTATCATCCTTTCAGATCAGTAGTTATTTTTTTTCTTGGCTTATAAAGAAAAAAAGAATTGTATAGAGCATGTATGTATCGCCCCAATTAATGTAAGATTTTCAGTATGCATGGTATAACAACTATATGTTTGATCATCTCATATGGCAAATCTATGACCTAGTTTTAGAAAGGGGTTATCCTCAGGTTTAAAAGCACCACCTGCTCTTGATGCCACCAGCAAAATTGCTGTAATAAAAAAAACCCTAAAAAAAATCCAAAACGCAGAAGAAATTTTCAAGTCACGACTACTCTTACAGAGAGCACAATATAAATGCCAGCTAGCTTTTAACAAAAGGTGATCGGGTTCAAATTAGTCTTACCCCCTCCTCAGCCCCCACATTGTGCAATGAACAATGAGTTAATGAGATTGTTGCAGTGAAAGGCAACATGGGGGCAGAAAGAAGCAGAATGGGGAGAAAATTTATTTTTTTATTACTATGACTTCTTAAAAATCCAAAATAAGATAAAGGTTTCAGACACTCAAGGGAAAGAATCCTTTTTCGCTCTAGCAACACAACGAAAAGGATTTACTCTGGCTAAATAATCTTCAGAAAGGTAAGTGTACATTGGCAAACAATTTCTTTTCATATTATCAAAGTAAAACTCCTGTAAAGCCATCAAAACAGAAATTTTACCAGGAAGTCTTTGTTCCAAAAACAAAAGGAAAGGAAGCCTTTATTGGTGATCTACATAAAAACTGGTAACTTGCACTTTCTGCCAATTGACTTAGCATTCCATTATGATCATAAAGTTTGCAAAATAAAGTTATTTCTTCTTGCATCAAGTGAAAGGTTTCAAGCATTTCTTTTAATATTTTACAAATTAAACTTAGGCATTACGTAGGCATTATGCAGAAGTATGGAATTATTTCTGCATGCCCTGTGACTATATCTGAAAAGTCTTTTGCTGATCTAGGGGAAAAAAAAAAAAAAGAAATCTTTATCTCTGTACAATTAATACACTTCAGGTACCTACAGCAAATGAAGGTACTCGTTTTTTATGTTCCATTTGACATGCAAGTTTCTTTATCCAATGTCCTTCTCCAAGACCTATTCAGTCTTCTACTTTCATGTGTCTTAACGAGAAAGTTAACTTCAGTTTGGCTTTGCAAGTTCTCACACTTTTATATGGTAGCTTAAAAAGAAAGTATGGAGAAGCTGAGCAAATGGCCAAAAAAAAAAAAAAACAACAGCCTGTCGGTTATGGGGGAAAGGAGGCTATTCTCATAAAATTCATGCTGCATCTGTCTTCTGCCTGGTAAATTAAGATGCTTCCATGTAATTTTTCTCAAGACAAAAAAAAAACCCCACATAGTTGACACTTGTATAAAGTATGTTGGCATAATCCAATATGAAATAATTGCATATTTGTGCAACATTCAAATACACACAGCATGGTTAATATGCTACTGTACCTCATTTTGAAGTTCATCGCCACTTTTGGTAGAAGCAAGCATCTCGTACAACGTACAGCAGAGGTCTTCCGTTGTTGGTCCTCCAGGGCTACCCCCTTGAGATTCATTCAGATACTTTCCAACTTCACACCATAAAAAAGAATCATCTACTTTTTCCAAAGACTTGAGATCAGATTTCTCATCACAGTAATTCTGTAAGTGATTCAGCTGGTTATTCAGGAATTTGTTATAATCTAAGCTTATAATTTTCTGCGCATCAGCCTCACCATTCACAGGCAGCTCCTCAGAGTGATCCAAATCATGCATGTCAAATGAAAACACTATATTTTTACCAAAGAACACTCTGTTATCACCATTTTGCTCTTCAGCCATCTGTATGAGGGCTGTAAGCTGTTCTTCAGTGAAGTGAGAAGCAATCCGACATGTGGCATTACAAGCTGCAGTAGCAGATGATGATGGAAATGGCCCAAACATCTGCTTGATCGCCTTTGTCTCATCATGACCAACACAGTCTTTCCTGTGAAATGTCTTAAAGAGAAAAACAGCTCCGCTTTCAATTGCTTCTTGTCCATTTTCAGCTCCAACTGTTAACAAAAGGAAAACCAAATGTGACTTAATACACTTCAAACTAATCCTGTTTCATTGCCTATAACATAACTGTATTCAATTTCTTGCTGCAAGTCTCATCAACAGAGATATGAAACAAAGATCATAACAACAAGTAGCAATTGTTGCAAGGTACTGAATTGTAAAAGGTAGATGATAATAAAGCATCTGTCTTCATTATCCTTCTACTTACTAGAAATTCATATAAAAGATTACCAACGCTTTCTTATTTTTCCAAGCAAGAGAAAAAACTTGCCTGAGATCTTAAACTCACAATCATATATTTACGAGCTTTTTAAAGGTAACAAATTTCCACTTTGTATCAATGTTTATTCACTGCCTAATCTGAATATTCATAACAGACTAAACGTACAGAACTCAGCTGGGAATTTCTACATTCTTGTAGTAATTCCCAGTAGAATTACTACAGAATGTGTGTTAGTTAGAAAAATTTCCCAAAGAAATTAAAGGAAATAAATGCATGAATTTAGATTTATATCTACAAAATATCATATTATGCAAATAAAAAATATATTATTAGAGAAAAACATGAATTTACCTCTTACACAAATATTCACAAAGGTACTCAAGGAAAACATAAGCAAACCAATATCCATATGATCCCATCACCATATGATGAACCAAAATGTCACTACTAAACAAGGTTTAAAAAGTTATCAATCATAAAGTAAACAAAAACAACCAGCATCCTGGGTTTTTTTGTCTGTTTTATACATGGACAACATGCAGAATTTTTTTTGTATTTTAAAAAAATGCATTCTAAAAAGTTGGGTAGGTTACTCCAACATTTTTAGTGGCTTTAGCGTTTCTTAGGAGATTGCATAGTTTTTAAAACATCTTGAAAGCTTACTGTTGAGATTTACAAGCTGCTGTTGTCAAGATGTCTTTATCTGGTCAATTCGTTAGCTCTATCAGGAGCGACCGGCATAGCTCCAGCAGTGAACAGTACTATTTAAGTGATAACACTGGTGATTAATCCCTGGCATGGCTAATTCAGAAGAACTATTAAAACAAACTATTTATTTTAAGAGGAACAATATTATTCATTTTTTAAAACCTCAAAAAGGCACTTCTGGCATAGTAAATGTGGCTATTCTCTTTTCAGTAATCAAAACTGTCTTGTGCTTTCCTGTGTGTATCTCTGCTATCCAGTTACAGGCCTATGTATTTGCCCTACTACATCCCTGTTTTCTGCCTGTTGAAAAACTTAACTGAAATCAGTGGGAAGATTTTTAATTACTTTGGCATTGTTACTTGTGACTTGATTCAAAGTAAGTTAGGTTCAACTCTAGCAAAAACAAGGAGTTTTTTCCCCACAATATAACAGGAAGGAGCAAAAGGAATTCAGCATAAGCAGATGGAACAAGGCTGAGTAACTAGAAACAACATATAAATGAAGGCACCTAAAAATTCAGTATTTCTCTTGAATTTCCCTATGGCGCACTTTGAAAAGCTGAAAAGTTCATAGCGGGGATTGGAGATGATATTTATAGGATAATTGGATACCTACATATGGAAGATATGTGACGAAGATACACATATATACAATATATATGTACATTTATCTCAAAGGAAAAAGGTGGTTCAGCCTCCCTCTCAGCATTAGCTATATAGGAAACGCAGCAAAAAAAACCACCCAACATCTGAAAACTTGTAGGCTTAAGTTTGGCTCTATGAACCTCACTCTTACATTCCTAACATACAAACAAACCTCTTTAAATAAACCCACTCGTGTCAGAACAGAAGCACACGTTACTAAACTAAAAGAGCAACTGTACTGAGGGATTTGAGAAAAGTCTCTTAGGTTTATTATGTGCTAATTCTCCTTTATTATCAATGTCTCCTATTCGTGGAAGCATCTCTTGAGAAAATACTACCCCTCCTCTCCAAATATAATGAGCCAGCCAAGATGGCAAGAAATGCACTACCTGAAGCTACTCTTCCCTTTTTGTTCTTAAGCCAATCAGATCATTTCAGTAAGTGACATTTTCCCTGTCAAATAAATAAATATTACAGTATCTGTTGCCTAGGGTGATATTCCATTTCCTTGCAATTAAGCTAAGGTGGCATTCTACTATACATTTCTGATGATGACGGTTGGAACATTACTGTCAGTTCAGTCTGTGCCTCAGTCACTGTAATCCGTTCTGGTTTGTGGCTCCACAACATTACACGTCTTTAGTCAGAAGTGTCAAAGCTGATGATTTTTTTCTAACTTGTTCTAACTAAATAATCATGCATTTGTTTTCATTTGGTTTGTCCTCTCCACTCCCATGAAACAAAAATTTACTATTCTTACTTTCAAGTCTTTCAATTTGCTTTATCTACCCACCACACTGGGTCTGCTATTAAAGTTTGGAAAAAAGAAAAAAAAAATTCAAAGTTTTTGCAGCCATCTTTGGCAAAAAGTGGAAACAAAACCCAACCAAACAAAAAAAACCCACAGCCAATACTCATTTCTGTTATTAATACAGAAAACACAAGTTTGCCAAATTATTGTCATACATAGCATCTGTAGCTGAGAATGGTAAATACTTATTTTGCTTATAACCTTTTTTCCACCATCAGACATTTTCTCCTACTTGCTATACTACATATGGTCATATTGCAAACTTTATAGTCATTATATATTTGCCAACCCTAACTTAACCAACATTTTACTCCAGTACCTCTTATGATTAAACTACACCCCAATGGATATTTAGGACAACTATGTAGATCTTCTCCACCTATTCCAAGTTGCTCGTTACGGACATAAATATTCAGATTAAAGGAAAATGACACTGACAAATCTCTCTACAGCTTGGATTTACATAGTTTGCTGTGCTTGATTGGTACTTGAACCAGGTCCTTACTTAAACCTCAGTCCTCCTCTCCCAGGTGAGTCTTATGCTTATATACAAAGTATATCTTGCAGTGATTTCCAGATGAGCAGCTTTTCCTCAAAAACACATAGTGAGTTTTCAGTTACATTACTTACAAAAAAATTACTAAATTATCTAAAATGAGGACAAGTATGGAAAGAACATGTATTCTGCTGGCTAAGAAACAAAAGCCACTACAGGAGAGCTGTCTGAATCACCTGAAGGGAAATGAACTTTTAAGTTCAGATTTACAAAAACAAAACATTTAGCATATCAATAATGAATTATATCCCAACAATAGACTTGAATGTTTTTATGCATTTCTGTAACAACTTATAATAAAATTATTTTTTATCATTGGAAAATAATATATTTGTATGTCATCAAAAAAGGTTTCCCTTTCAACCTGTGAGGATGATGTTAGGATGGGTACGTATGTAACGAAACTGAGAACCAACTGGGAAAAAATTGTCTGTAACTACAGAGGGATTGTTTATTTGAGAGGCAAAAAGGGCAGAAAGGAGGAGTGCCAAGAAATGAGAAAAGGGGAATATAAACTATGCAAATATTGTCATTTGGGCAGTCCAGGGGTAATCGTCAGGCAGCCCTGCACTCGATCACCACAAGCTGGAGCAGGACAATAAACCAAGCTGTTGTTCTGACCATACCACACATTTCAAACCTGCTATCATGGTCAGGAGGACTGGGGGCTGAGGAGGAGCTGGCTGCCTTTACTTGCTAGTAAGGGGACATGTGGGACAGATGGATCAAGCATCCCCGTAACACCATGTCAGTGCCTGTGCCAGGTCTGATTGTGTTGTCATCTTCCTAACATCCCAATGTTATCCTAACAGAAAAAATCTGAATTGATCAAGTCATGGAAGAGAAGTCAGAAAAGTGGAGAGTATAACTTTTAAAAATTACATCAATAGTATGTATAATAATACAGCCATTTCCAGACCACGTGTACCAAACAGGACTTTTCCCTTCCCATCACAGCTGTGTCCGAAACCTGCCTTTACTATTGCAGCACAGCAATAAACATCTTTTAAAAACTAGTAAAAGAGTATGAATTCTGTAGGCAATTTCAAACAAAGAAGTTAAAAAGATAACATTTATTTCTTTGATCAATTATCAGTACAGACTGCACCTTCTCCATATTAACTTTGGGCATCGACAGCTGATGCAAACGCACTCCACATCTTGCATGACTTTCCCCCAAACCTCGCATATCAGAAGTGCCAGCTGAAATGTGTGCATTGAAACGGAGGTACTTGAGTTGGGGCAGAGAGGTGGTCCTTCCTAGGGGCGCCTCTGTCTCAAAGACAGGCAGCTGCATGCTTAACTTCTGGCCTGAAGAAGTTAAAATCTATTAACAGCACAAGCTCTACTACTTGTATCAGAAAAGTAGGATTAAAAAAAATTAGGGCCAAATTTGTAAAACTAACAGAGTTGGGTCACAAACATGGAAAGAATGAACCACAAAGCAAAGTTTAGAACACATGTATCGTCAGATGAGTTTAAAACATTTTTGTCAGTGATTTGAAAAATATTTGAAATTTTTTTTCTGATGACTCACTAAAGCAATAGCCATTACAACCATGAATAGCTTTAACAGGCATCTTCTGTGCAACTGTACAGCAGGACCAATTACTACATGCTGAACCCGAATAACTTCTCTAGCCTTTTTTGAAAGTCTGTGTTTAGATGTTTGTTTCTTTCTTAATTTACTAGTTATTTCCAACAGAACGAGAAATAGAAACACAAGTGAGGCAGGTTAACATTCAGATTGGGATAAAACACCCTCTGGCCTATAATGCCAAAAAAAAAAAAAAAAAGCAAATATACTTATCCATATTAATTCTTTCCATCTTTTACTTAGGGTTCTGTTCAAGATACTTGAAACATAACCAGAAAAGGAGAAAACATACCTATTACGTTGAAATGAAAAATTCTTAAACATGTGACAGCTAGAGCTTGAGCCATGTGCTCAGCTTATGAGCTGATGAATTTAAATTCTGCTAACAGCACAAACTGAGTTAGTTTCAGTCTGTAGATCAAAAACTAAGTTTCCAATCAAGACTAAGTTCTCACACCACCATTGCCATAATGTATATTCAGTTTTAAAATCTTAATTCCAGATGAGTGAAATTATTTCTCTCCGCAACACCAAACACTTCAAGTAGAAAACATTTTTTTACATTTTTATGTGCTTATGTAGCAATCCAATGTTTCATGATACAATCACGTAGAATTGGGCTCAAGCTGCGCCAGGGGAGGTTTAGGTTGGAAATTAGGAAAAATTTCTTTACGGAAAGGGTGGTCAAGAATTGGAACAGGCTGCCCAGAGAGGTGGTGGAGTCCCCATCCCTGGAAGTATTTAAAAACCGGGTAGATGTGGCACTTCGGGACATGGTTTAGTCTAGTCTACCCTTGATTGGCTTAGAGTAGACTTGGTAGTGTGGGTTAATGGTTGGACTGGATGATCTTAAAGGTCTTTTCCAACCTAAATGATTCTATGATTCTATGAATTAAAGCAGATAACATCAAGATTGTTCTTTTCTCAGAGTAGTACCATTCCAAAAGAAGCTGTTGCTTTTGCTTACTATGGGTCAATCACAAACCATACCACACACTACACAACAATACTATCAAAAAGCAAGAATATTCACATAACAACGGAACTGTATTTTAAAATAAAACAGAAAACCAAATTGTGCATATACATGTCAGATTAACTGGAGTTTCAAAGATATTTCAGGGCAAGCCTGCTGTCAAGCTAGAACTAAAATTGTAACAGTATGCAAAGTATGCAGGCACAAAGCAGCTTGGGAAAAAAAAACCCACAGCAAAACAGTCTATTATTACACTACTAGAGAATGAAAACATACCTATTTGTTTTGCAGCTTGTAATATAGTTTTTAAATCACCATTTACAGTTTGGTGTTCTTTTTTGTCCAAATTGTCATCAACAAACTTTATTATCTTCTTCCAAGTAAGATCAGACTTCAGCAACTGTTCATGCAGTTTTGATCTTTTAGTCTGAAAATGCAAAATATTTGGGATTTCTTTTATTTATTTCAAATTAGTACATGGAAGTTCCTTTAAAATTAAACACCAGATAAAAACATTTCTTTCCAATTGCATTCAGTCAGTATGTAGTAACAACTGCAAGCAGTTTCCCTATTACCTGTTCTTTACACTCT